TAATCATGAGTATTCACTGAATGTCTTTGGTAGTCACGGAAATTCTGTGGAAGTCATTGATGGAAGCCTTTGGTAGTCAATGTGAGTCTTAATGAGTAGTTTCTGATAGTCGCTGGTAGTCAATATAGGAGTATTTGGTAGTGACCGATAGTCATTGATATTCACTGGAAGTAATTATAAGTCACTGAAAGTCGATCTGCAAGTAGTTTTTATTATTTGATCGAAGAGGAAGTCGTTGATAATCAATGGGAGTCACAAGTAAGTACTGATAGTTGTTGGTAGTCAATAGAAGTATTTGATAGTAACTGATATAGTCATTGATATTCATATCATGAGTCATCTGGAAGTAATTTTTATTAGAAGGCTTCGTAATTCAGTGGTAGGTAGTCATTTGTATTCGCTGGTCCTTGATAGGCAATGGAAATATCTGGTAATCAGTGGAAGTCTTTGGAGGTACATGAAAATCTTAAATAGTTGCTGATATAGTCATTTCTTGTCAATGGTAGGCTTCGGTAGTTACTGATAATCATGAGTATTCACTGAATGTCTTTGGTAGTCACGGAAATTCTGTGGAAGTCATTCAAATTCAAATTCTTTATTCTTTCTAATTTGACAATTATACAATTGCATTGAAAGTTGTCACAGAACTAAAATTACAACGGTTACAAACACTACAATTAAAAGTTAAAATTCAACAGTGTTACACATTCACATTCACTGAGATATGCAGGTACTAATAGTAATCACACTTCCCTATGAGAAATTCTTTGTTTCTAAGAAAACATTTATAGAATTATATTGAAAAGTTCTTACAGTACTAGAATCTAAATCGTTAAAAACACTTCGATTAACACTCAAAATTGTATGGTTACCAGCATTCATTGAGATATTCACTGACTGAGTAGTAACACTTTTCTATAAGAAACTGTTTCAATGATTTTTTGAATACATATAAACTGTCAATAATTTTTATATGAGGTGGTAGATTATTGAACAATCTAGGGCCCATGTAATTTGGAGATTGATTGCTCAACTTTAACCGGACTGATTGAAAATGTATATCTTTCTTGTGCCTAGTATGATAATTATGCACATCATCATTGAGAGTAAATTCCTTTTTGTTACGAAAAACATACAAACATGCTTCATATATGTAAACACATGGCATTGTCAATATTCCAAAGTTTGGAAACAATTGTTTGCATGAGTGAGTGTACGACACTCGTGCTATGCAACGAATAATCTTTTTTTGTGCTATGAACACTTCAGAAATCCTTGTCGACATACCCCACAATAATATGCCGTATCTGATTTGGGAGTCAACGTATGCATAGTAAAGATTTATTAACTGTATTTTACTTAAAATATTTCGCAAGTTCCTGAATAAATAGTTCATTGAGTGAAGCTTGGAGATAATATGTCCACATTGTGCTTTCCAGTCAAGGTGCTCCTCAATATAAAGACCAAGGAATTTCATTGTCCCATTCGAGCTAGATGGAAGCCTTTGGTAGTCAATGTGACTCTTGATAAGTAGTTACTGATAGTCGTTGGCAGTCAATAGAAGTATTTGGTAGTGACCGATAGTCATTGATATTCACTGAAAGTAATTATAAGTCTCTAAAAGTTGATCTGCAAGTAATTTTCATTATTTGGTTGTTAATGGAAGTCTTTGATAGTCAATGGGAGTCACGAGTCCTTACTGATAGTCTTTGGTAGTCTATAGAAGTATTTGGTAGTAACTGATATAGTCATTGATATTCATATTATAAGTCACGAAAAGTTTATCTCGAAGTAATTATCATTAGAAGGCTTCGAAATTCAGTGGTAGTCATTGGTATTCTCTGGAAGTCTTCAGTAGTCAATGGAAATATGGTAGTAAATAAAAAGTTGCTGATATAGTCATTTCTTGTCAATGGAAGGCTTTGGTAGTCATTGATAGTCATGAGTATTCACTGAAAGACTTTGGTATATAGTCTTTGGAATTCTGTAGAAGTCAGTGATGGAAGCCTTTGGTAGTCAATGTGACTCTTGATAAGTAGTTACTGATAGTCGTTGGTAGTCTGGTAGTCACTGATTATAGTCATTGATATTCACTGCTTCACTGCAAGTCTTTGGGAGTCAAAATAGAAGTATATGGTAGTTACTGATAGTCACTGGTATTCTCTGAAAGTCTTTGGTAGTCATTGATGGAAGTCTGTTGTGCAAATGTTTTCTTGAGATTCACCCCTCCACCGTAGCCATGGTAACGTGGATATGGTAAAATAGACCCTGGAAAGCGGAAAGCCTATACATATAGTCACGGGAGTTTTGTAGAAAACTATTTTTTTTTTCTAATCGATGAAGGTGATACCACGACATGCAATTACCCATCAATATTTTCTTGGGCACTTGCTCGCAGAGATAATTTGTCCACTTTTCTAATTTACCTTTACTCGTTGCTTATTCATGAAACACGATCAATCGAATTCTATTAATAATTTGTTGATCCACTTTTACGGGATAAAATTTCGAGAGATGGTCAAGCTATTTCAATTTGCCTGTCAGTGCAGACATGAGAAATCTTCATAATTATTATTATCATGCGGACAAATAAATGGAGTAGTAAAAATGAAACCTCTTGAAATTAGGAAATTAATATTTTCATTTGAGCTGTTGAATTTCGATAAATATATTGAAAAAAATGTCATTCACCAACTCTCAACGAACTTTCTTTGAAGAAACGATGCCATAGAGGGTGCTCCAATTTTGATTGATCTATGAATATGAAGAAAAATATTTTAGCAAGTGAAAAATAATTAAACCTATTGTAGAAGATAATTTGGACTTTTTGAATTACAACCAACAAATGAAAATTGTATACGGTAACAAAACTGTTCCCTACAATATTTCTTTGGCTGATTATTTCCGTTTCTCTAGCACGCTAGAACAATCCTTTTCCGTTTGACCTGTTTCCAGAAACCCAATTATTGAATAATAAGTCCTAATATGTAACCTAACCACATGTATAATATTATAAGGATGAGGATTTTTTGTACAGCTTATACAGGTTGACATTGAATTAAAAACCAATATTTCATACAGAAAGAAAACTCGACGTGTACTATCGAATGACACCATTAAAAAAAATGTTGGCATCAAAATATAATTTGGGGTGAGAGCGGTGAGACCCCTTTCTTTCACCCAAAGTTCTATGCTGTGGAAATTCGGACGTCACCTCTGTACAAATTTTCGTGTGGAATTCAATTATTTATAAATAAAATTGTCTTGAAGTGGCGTACTTGATTTTTCCTCAATTTTTTTTTCAACTTTCAATATGAATTTTCTCGTAAATTAGAAGAATTGAAAAAAATCTGATATTTTGGGATTTTTCGTTAGACTGTATCATATTGATGTGCTCTAAATATACGAGTATGCAATTATTCCAAAGGTACACCTCGTATATAGGTAGTTATTTTTTCCACAAAACCACCAACTCAAAACCGATTACATTTTGTTTTCACATTATTAGGAACTCGAATCTGATAACATTTATAGAACTCTCTATATAGGAAAATATACGTATATTTCGATATAAATGTTCCAAGCTATGTGAAAATTCGATATTCTTTCGATTTACCTATACCTTTTCAGACATTTCTCTGAACAACACTATCAATTGAATTTCTTTTCTGTTTTTGATAGTGACATTTTTAAACTTTGTTTTATTTTGGGGCGAATCTTCTGATCTGCCTTTTACACATACAGGGTGGGCCACCAGTAACGCCTCGGTCTCTAGAAGGCTAACCACTTATCTTCTTGGAATTCTTCCTCTGTATGAAGTTGCATGTCAACATAGGCTACCATTTAAAATTATTTCGAAACATACAGGGTGTCCCCAAAAACCATAAAACACTGAAGTTAAACTTTTTTCTATCGAACACCCTATATATTATTTCATTTTGAGATTCTCCCTGATGAGCTGATTTCAACGACCCATCATACTTGGGGTCTAGCAGTTATAATTACTGAAATATAGGGTGTGAAAAATCGAGATTTTCCAAGTTCAAGAATGTTTTGTGTCGAAACTCTTCATAATTGGTCAAAACGGCTTACATGTCCCTATCTCAACTTTTGATTAACTATCTACTGATATTTAATTGGGACGTATACCGGGTGGTCAAGATTCTGAATTCTGCACCACCCTGTATTTGTAAAAGATTTTTCATGGAAATATTAACGCCCTGTATCTCGAAAACGAAGCAAGGACACATGTTTATATAAACAATATTTCCTGAATTTATTTGAATTTTTTCGGTGTTATTGAAATACTCATATTTTTATTTATAGAAGCCGACATTTCAAAAAATTCCTAATCTACAGACAGTATGAGTATATCGAAAAATGTTTAATTTTCGAATATTTTGAAACTGTTTGATGTTTCTTTCAGATGCGTACGGCATGGACAAAGGCATATATAGTTATTATCCCCCAACTATAAATTCTACGTCATCGGTGGATTCATTGATTGTGGTATGAATTTTCGATTTAAAATATTTCTTCAAGAAAATAATAGGTTATTTCCTTTTGCTTCGTATGGAGATGATATTTTTTCTCCCGCTCTCTTAAAATTGCCATACACGACGAAGAAATAAAAATATTCGATGAAATTCAAATAGAATAGGAAAAAATTCGTTTTAGGTCACCTAAATCATCATAAATTTGATCAAAGATTTTCTGCTATTTCAGCTATTTGTTCGCATAAGTGCAGCTTTTATAATGAACCACTCAGTTATCCCCACACAAAGTGTCAAAATTTCATAGTTATTTATTCCAGAAAATCACAATGCCCATGTATATCCGGCTGAAACGGAAGTCATATTATTATGGCCTTGGCGATGATTTTCCTAAATAATATAATAAAAGTGGTTAAAACTTCAGAACCACCGAAATTCAAATATCTAATACTGATATCATGAATGAACACTTTCAGTTCATATTCATATCTACATTACATTACTCACATAAAACTGCAATCACTCTAGCGGCAAAAATGAATCCCAAATTATTATAAGAAACTCTCACTTTTTAATAACCGGAAATTACACCTCTAGTAGAATTACAAATCCGATTGGGCAACATAAGAGTATATATTCCTCCTCAGTTAACGAAAAAGAAAAAAATCCCGTGTACAGTGCGTTTTCAATCCGAAAATTCGAAATGACAGCGTCACTGTGCGATTTGTTTTCAAAGCCTACTACTTCCCGCTCGCAAAAATGTCCACTTGTCGGCAGTGGTCAAGCGAAGAATAAACACGGAATAATATCCCTCCATAATCAAGCAGGCGGCGTTACGCTAGAGAGAAGAAAACAATCGATGATGTGGGCCTGTTATAGTTGCCCCCCGGGCTACAATGACCCCTTCAAGTGGATGAATATGACTTGGCGACTTATGCACCCTCTTTCCCCCTTCCGTGGGGGTGGGTTTTGCGGTGGTGCAGGTGAAATGTTGGGGTGGGGTGACGGCCGCAAAGAGTATACGGGGTGGTTGAGATGAGAGAAAAAGAATGACTGTATATGATCATTTAAACCAGCAGGTATAGTGACTAATTTTCGGACGTGATTTGACCCAGTATGCCTTTTGGAGGGTATCATTATGTTTATGCACTAGAGGGCCGTAAAGTGCACTTTAACGCTCGGTTTTGCGGGCGTTAAGTTGCACTTTACCGCCCGCTATTCTCAGTTTCCTTTTATCCACATATCAATTCATGAAGAACCTATGATCATTTTCCTAGATTCTAATATATCCAGCGGTATATCATAAACTTCTTCCTCATCCGATTTCATAGTCTATCACTATTATTTTTATAACTAATTTTTACTCTTCAGTCAAAGAATGACAATTCAGCTTGTTTATTGGGTGAATTGCTATAGACAACAACAAGGATACAACAACCATCAGCTTGCTTGACAACGTCGAAATTAGGTAGGTATATATACTGGGTGTGCATATTGTCAAATTCTGAAGAATGAATCTCTCCTAGAGATCAAAGATTTTTACTATTAAGATAATTGCAATATTCGTACGATAACTTTCATATGTAAATCATCCATGAACATCATTACGCTTCTCTTGATTACTGAATTTATACGTAGGTAACAAATTAAATTCTGGGGAATAAAAGTTTATCGAAATCTATAGTCTTTACTTTTGAGTCAGAAAATAAACCACTAGTGCATAAAATGTTGTATGTATCACGTGCGTGAAATGCGTTTATGGCCTTCAGCGTGTAATGGCCCTCGGCTAGCGCCATCGGGCCATTATTCACGCCACAGGCCATAAACGCCTACTTCACGCCGTTGATACATAAATAACTAATATGTCGGGGTCAAACAGTGAAATCCGTCATTCTCTGGAATGCCTAGTCATTTCACGTATTGCCGGCAAACAGCGTAGGTCGAGTTAGCTTAGGTTGTTTAAAAGCAGTAGTCTCTTCTGTTCTCTCAAGTAATTTTATGAAAAATATACTTTCTAGGAAGAAGGTTCATTTAGGCGGAGTTTGGTTATATTTTGTTTCGAAAAAATAGTCTCCTTTCTTATGCATATGCAGAAAGGATATTTTCCTTCGACAACTGTCATCATCGGTTCGACAGGAGCCATTATATATTGGGTGTTGCAGTGTTATTAATTGCGTAAATGAGTGTTGATTACAAGGAATCGACTTTTTCGATTGATTTTCGATTACGCGATGAAAAACCTTGTGATAAATAGGTTTCTTGACTCCATGTCAGCTCAGGAATATCTCAAAACCATTATAGCATCGTTATATAGTGTATAAATTGGATTACCTTATCTGAAAAATCACGAAATCAATTCGAGATACTGAGCAGATGGTTATGGCAGCACCAAACTGAACAGACGATTTCATCTAATTCTGAACATTTCTCCAAAAACATTAATTCTTCTTCTGTTAGAGTTGTCGATGATTTCAACGCAATATGAATCCATTTTCTAGGATGTGTGTGGCAAAATACGTTGGATGTGGCTTGCATGATTTTAAAATCGGAAATGATGCGATAAAATGAAAAATCATCGATTTTCAACATCCTGTATGAGGAATGAGGAAAATTACAAACCCGTTTCGAGATATTGGCTTGAAAGTTCGGACTTCTGGACGTGATTTGACCCAGTATACCTTCTGAAGGGTATCATTATGTATAGGTATATATTTTGATGTTTGAAAATGATATATGAAAGAATCTTCCCGGTTTCTCCTTGCAATGAAGTTAATTAACATTATTTGTTCCCAAATTGAACGTTTCGATACGATTTCAGTCAAGCTGCCGTTCCAAAATTAAATATAATAGTGGGGGAGCCCAAGCGTGATTTGATCTTGTCGCTTATATTTTAACAACTTCTAACCTTATTTTTCATGTTCATTGATTACATCGGGCATCAAAATTGGTTGGGGCAGGTATTGACAGATTTTTGGACGTGATCTCAATGATTTCATCCAGTATGCCTTTTTGGGGGTATCATTATGTATATATTCTGATGTTTAAAAATGATATATGAAAGAATCATCCCGGTTTCTCCATGCAATGAAGTTGATTAACATTATTTGTTCGCAAATTAAGCGTTTTCAAACGATTTCAGCCAAGCTGTCTGTGTTCCAAAATTAAATATGATAGTGGGGGAGCCCAAGCGTGATTTGATCTTCGTCGCTTATATTTAAACAACTTCCAACCTTATTTTTCATGTTAATTGATTACATCGGGCATCAAAATCAGTTGAGACAGATAGTGACAGATTTTTGGACGTGATTTCATCCAGTATGCCTTTTGGAGGGTATCATTATGTATATATTTCGATGTTTAAAAATGATATGTGAAAGAATCCTTCCGGTTTCTCAATGCAATAAAGTTAATGAACATTATTTGTTTGCAAATTAAGAGTTTCGTTACGATTCCACTCTAGCTGCCTGTGTTCCAAAATGAAAAAAACTCAAAATATTACGAGTTCCTTACTAGAGCATTAGAATTAAAACCAGCGTAGTAACGAATACAAAGAGATTGAAAACTATTGGAATTATCTCATAAAATCAAATGTTCAACAGTAATTACACAAGTGTTGGTGATTTTTTTGATAATTTTAACTATAGATGCAAGAATCTTTGTTGCTATAGACATTTCACGAGTAGACAAAGTCCAAAAGTGCGCCATTCATAGCTTGACGTTGGAACACGGTCTTCACGTATGTATTTCGACTCTCCCTTCAACTTTTTTCATTATGAACGATTTAAAAAAAGTGCTTTCATAATTTTTCCTGTATATTTTATATACGTATGTTAACAGAATATCCACCTTTTTTTTCTATGCAATTTTCGGCAGTTTGACCAGGAAATATGAAAATATCATAATTTGTACTTAAAAATGATAGTCTTGTTTAAATTCGATATAAATCGATTATAAGAGCCGGCTGCGTAACAAAAATTGTGCTAACGGAATCTAGTGAAAATGTGAAATTCAACTTGAGATATTTGTTCGAGAGTTATCCAGGGTAGATCGTCGTGAGTGGGCCACCCGGTATACGTGGATTGTTGCGGATGACGGCAAGCTATTTAATTTAATTGAACATCTCAATATCAATGACTCTCCTTGGAAATAGAAACAGAAAATTCAATCACTTAGTATAATTAACGTTAATTTTGATTTATCAATTTTTCATGAACCTTCCCACGCTGATATCGATCACTGTTCATAATGAATCAATTCACCCTTATCAACATTTAATGGCTCCATATAACAGGCTATTGAGTGGTCCTCGTTATGGCGTCAACAAAAATAGTAGGTGTCATTTGAAAAAGTTGAAAAAAAATCCAGGATTCTAATAAGATTTCAATCCAACTGCACTGGTAGCAAATTTCTTATGTAGTGTGGCCTACGCAAATCACCCTGTATAAGTTAGGTTAATCAATCAATGTGAGGGTAAATATTGAAAAACGGGTGCTTGTTTCGGGATATTGTTGTTTTATTCAAAACTAATCACAAAAAATCAGAATATTTTATAAATATTTATAGGATAATAAATAAATGTACCTTCCTTGTGAGACATTAAAATATTTCACACATCTCTATAATGAACAGAATGTTTCCCTTAGAGGAGAACATTCCATAAAAAAATACTATATTCTCTTTAGTAAGATAAGATCACAAGAAAAATACTTAATGGTATTGGCATATTAGCAACTCATGACTATGCAAATAATTTATGAAAAAAAAAACAAGCTAGTGATAACGTGAAAATGTCTGAGAATAAAAAGGTTTCAAAGGATATATCAAAACTGAGCTGAACTTTTTTTTCTTAGGTTTCAAAATATTTTCAACTTCATGCTATCAACAAAATCATCATGAAATAAAGGAATACCTTCCTTAAATAGGCAGGTATGTATTTCATAACTTTTTTCATAAAAAAACTAAATTCATAGTCACTGAATGAAACTAAGCAATGCTGAATATAAATCTACTTACTGCAGATTCACAGAATCTATAGAAAGCAGGACAGTTACTTCAAAATATTATCTTGTTATAACTTCTGGATTTTTCCATAAAGATTTTTCTTCTTGAAACAATCCTTATTATAATGAAAAAGATTGAGGATAAAATTCGAAATTTAAAGCAGTAAGAATGACTAGAAATTCATTAGGATTAGTGTAGATCACATTCAACATTATCCATAATGGCCTTTGTACATAAAATTAGTGTTTAATTATTCAAATCTTTCGACCTAGTTTATAAGATTCATACTCAATACTAAACACTAAATACCTATAATCTATAAAAATATAAATAATTTGTACTACTGTAGAAAAAAAATGAATTTTTTCGGAAAACTGTTGCCAGACAGTATCCTTCAATGCCAATATAAATATTTGTACATACATATACAACACTATGGAATAGTACAGGGTGAGCTTCTCAGACTTAAACCACCTGTTTCCGATTTTTCCGAAATTTACATCAAAATGGGGAAGTTTGCTATATTCAGATTATAATTTCTCCATTAGGTTTATATTAAATCATTGTATCATATGCTTAAATTTAACTTCAATAAGTACTTGAAGTTGAATCATAAAATTGGTAGAACCAAACAAAAATTCACATTGTTTCCAAAACATTTGTAACTGAAATCTGGCACCGCGTCCACATTTTTCAAATCTTACTAATAGCTGCGTTTCAATTGAGGTTAGGTTCTCATTTTTATATGTTTATTTCTATTTTAATAATCTAGTATACTGGTTTATTCACGTTATTCCACACAGCATTGTGGCTACAAAAGTTTTTTCTTTGTGATGGATAGGGGCCTATTAGTGCTACGTTTTAAAATATCGAATAACGTGAATAACCCGGTATATGCCCTATTTTTCTTTTATTTGTTTATTCATTTGTTGACTCAGAAGGTTATGCATTCCTCTTCTGATTTTCTTTTTGTTCTCGGTTCGGGCTTGGTCATCTTTAATTAGGAAGAGCAAAACTTATCTTACCTATATTCATACTGGATTCATAGATTATGTTATTATTTACCGCCCGAACTTTGTAATTGCTCCATTTTGAAAATAGAAAGGATTTAAATCAATTCAATGGGTATCCTAGATTGCAAAATCATGAAGACAATCAGTGTTTAACTTATTAGATGTAGATGAGAAAGGAACTTCCCCATTGAGTGTATAGCTAGAAAAAAGAGTTGTGGGGGGGGGGGTTGGATTTTGAGAGGTGCTCCTGCAGCCATCTGACTATAACCTTACTCTCACTATGTTTTCAACATTTCCCATTCTGGTGCCATGAAGCACTTATCCCCGTGCGTCAGCTTGTGAGCATTATAATAATGCTTCATCACGAACTGCTTCTGGCAAATCTCACAAGTATAACTCGCCTGCTTCTCGTGCGTCTTCTTGTGCTTCAGCAGATTATCGTTCCTCGAGAAGCTCTTGTCGCAGATGTTGCAGGTGTAGTTCTTTTGGCCCGAGTGCAAGGTGCTGTGCCTGATCAGGTGCTCTTTGCGCATGAACGCCTTGTTGCAATGTTCGCAAATGTACGGCCGGAAGCCCGTGTGCAGCTTGACATGTTGGTAGAGATGTTCTCTTCTTTTGAAGGCGCGCGAGCAGACCTCACAAACGTGGCTTTTTTGCGGGCTATTTGAACTGATAGACGGTGGCGACATTGAGCCGTTAGTAGGCTTAATGTCCGCTTCTGGAATTTGGCTTTGGCTTTCAACTTTGCTCATTTCCGGTTGCTGTATGCTGGAAATGACGTTGGTGTACGCGGTTTGGTTGAAGTCCTGTACTGTTTGATTCAGTAAATTGACACCTAGGTTTGAGGTGTCCAAGGTGGAGGCAGTATTACAGATAACATTTGTATTGCCTATTGTGTTAGTGGTGTTGACGATATTCAAATTGGGCTGTGTATAAATAGAACTGCCGTTATTGAAGTTGTTGAAGTTTTGATTATACTCTGATAAAGGAAATATAACAGTTTGATTATGATTTTTGTCATCTACCTTCACTGTATAAGAATACTTATTTTGGTTTTGTGTACTTTTTATGTGAGGAAGTTTGTCATATTTGATGGTGTTTTGGTCCAACTCATACACAGGTGAATGATCATTGGTTAAATCTATTTGGACCACATCATCTGGAAGGGAGGGAACTTCTTTGTGGCGCTTTACTTTGTGTTTGGGTTTCAATACACTTCCTTGGTTCAGGATTGTTTCAAAGTCACCCATGTGGGCTATGTTTATAACTTCCCCATTGGAGTTGACAACTACATTGCTGAGAATTTCATTCTTTGGTAGACTAGATTTTATGTTTGAAGTGTTTATCAAGTTGAGATTGTAAGCAAACTGGCTCTGTGTTATTTGAGTAGTTTTATTGTTGACTAGATCTTTGGGACTCCTGCTGATTATATTTGGGTTAGAAACTATGGTGGGAAGCTGCAAGGTGTAAAATGGCAATTGCTCCACAGCTTGGGGATTTTTATTGACATTGACGATATTTTGAGGCATTGTTTGAGCTACAGAAATGGGAGTTCCCACATTGGGTGTGCTAGAAGTTGATATTTCTGGGTTTTGTTGTATAACTGGGGCACTAGGCTGTTTGATATCTTTGATGTATACCTTTCCTGACTTTTTGAAGTCATCTGTATACCTGAAGTTCTTGAAATAGGAGGAGAGCATTGTTTCAGAACTAACACACTCTTGTCTAAACCCATAGCAGGTTTCCAAACTGCGGAGACACTTGGAACACACCACTTTTGGCAAGAAGTCATTTTCATTTACCTGAAACGGAAGATATCAAAGGAATCGTTCGAAATATTAGAAGGATGCTTACAGTTAGGGCCAAGCAAACTTGTATTTTGTTCTGCAATTGTATTTTCTTGCCTTCCTCTTGAAATATATGAGTCTTTTCTTTCTGTGTATTAGAAGCGCATAATCTACAGAGTTCGTAAAAACTCACTCGTTTATACCCGGACATTGGTGGGTGGTAGTTCCTATGAAAATTACATTTGAAGAATATCGATATTTATTAATATTATTGTCAAATATCAGATTAGATAAATACCCTAGTTAGCAAGTTTACAGAGACATCTTTTGGTTTATAACCTTAATCTTTTCTGTCATAGCAGTACACAAATATTGAAAAAAATAAAAGAAGAATTTGACTCTTCTTCTTTTTTTAATTAAACTTGCAGCACGTCATGTCAGCTCAGCTGATCTCAATGTCATCCGTATTTATTATTATTCTGGGTGCCTGAGTGCAATGGTGGTGTGGAAAATTCTATTAAAAAATGTCTGATCTCGTATCAAAATGTGTTTTGAGGGTGGAAGTGAACCATTCCGGAAACTCAGGTTAGTAAATGTCTACCTACTTCATGAGAATGTCCTTTATGCTCAGTGTTTTCATAGAATCCAGAGGTGCTGAAGCACTATCAAATTCAGACACCAAGAAAAAGGGTAGAGGTCAAAGGAAAGTGAGAGAAATAAGCGTGGAAACTTTTCCTAGTCGCTTGGAGGGCCCCAGAGATGACTGGGGACTTCTTCCTCAATACTCTCGGGAAGTAACCCCTGCCAGTGATGGTGAAAAAACTGGCAAGGAAGAAAAAAGTGAGATTGGGTTCTTCAGTGGAAATCCATTTGTGGAAATAACAAAAGGGGTTCTGCATCTATATAAAGAAGAGTAAGTGTTATTACTGCCTTGATAGCTTGCTTGCTACTGGTCAAGTTTTTTTTTTAGTGTGATGAGTAGTAGGAAGGAAGCCATTACTCTCTGTTTGCTGGGAGTACCTGCCACTATGACATGTCATGATCTACTGGCTTTTACTGCTCCATGCCATTGTGATATTTCTCACATTAGAGTGCTGAGGGACTCCATGCCCAATCAGTATATGGCTCTTTTAACGTGAGTTTCCACCAAGTTTTTCCTGAAGAGAAATATATTCCCATGCCCACTTTCAGATTTAGAAATCATGATGCTGCTATGGAGTTCTATTTAACATTCAATGGAGCTCCTTACAGCAGCTTAGAACCAGATAGCATTTGCCGCATTGCATGGGTCTCCAAGGTGGAATGGGCTTATGATGGTTTGCCACCTCCTGGTCATACAGAATTGCCGATTTGTCCAGTTTGTCTGGGTAAATGAATATTTTTTCATAAGGACAATTTTGTTATACCTTCACTAAGCTAGCAGAATCACTTTGGATTTTCCCATTGTTACCTGATTGATGAATTCAATGCCATTCAATTTATGCAAAAAAACATGGGTTCTGCTAGCTTAACATCAAGCTACCACTTTCTGAATAAAAATTCAATCACAAAACTACTTATACCATAATTGAGAATTAATTTAAGGCTCCAATCCTAGCTGCACATTGTTTTTGCAAAAAAATCATGGATTTTGTTAGCTCTATTGTTAAGCTAGCAGAACCAAATCTCTAATATCAGGAATAGAATGATATTTAACACCATAATTTAAGACTATTTCAAGGTTCTTACTTGAGCCTATCATCATTATTTTTTGTTGGTCTTTTTTTTTAACACAAATCCAACATAAACATGGCAAATCAATGGCAAATCAAAATATTTTAAACAGAAAACTAATAAGTTGTATCCTCAATTCAAGATTTGGAAGGCTAAGCTAGCAAAATCCTTGATTTGAAAAAAAAAAACAAGGTGCAAAAAATGTGACTGAGACTGAGACTGGAGCCTCAAATTAGCCCTTAATTATGATGTAATCAGCAAGGTAATCAGTTTTGTCATTAATCTATTTATTGGTTTTCCAGTGGTTTGTCTTATTCATGTTGAATTCGATTGGTTAAGCAAAACCAATGGTTTTAAAAGAGAACAATGTGAGAAAAAATTGGCAATAGACTAGGATTGGAGCCTTGGTTCTACTAGCTCAAAGGTTAAAAACTACCAAAAGCTATGATTCAAAGACAACTTGCAAGAAATCTGGCCAAAGGCTAGGTTGGGAGCCGCAAATTAGCCTTCAATTTTGGAGTAATCAGTTAGATCATTGAACTTTTCATTGATTCGCCATTCTCATGTTGAATTTTTTCTAAATGTTTTGCAATAAATGAAAAAATGAAATCAATAATAGGCTCAACAAAGAGCCTCAAAATTACATTAAATTAAGGCTCACTCAATGCTAACGTTTAGCTAGCAGAGCCCACGTTTTTTGCTTAAATCAAAGAGCAATAAATTCGGCGATCCTGTAATAAATTACACCCTGAATTATCCTTAAATTATGTCCGAAGAAAAAAATGGAAAATCCAAAGTTGTTCTGCTATCATGATAGAGGTTTTTGTTATGGCTTGTTTGTTAATTTTCCAGAGAGAATGGACGAATCTGTGGATGGAGTACTTACTATCCTCTGTAACCATGCATTCCATGCGAGTTGCTTGGAAAAATGGGGCGACTCTACTTGTCCCGTTTGCCGGTGCGTACAGAGCCCCGAACAAGCAGAATCTTCTGAATGTGAACAGTGCGGCACCACTGCGCAGTCTCCGGATTCTTTATGGATATGCTTGATCTGTGGCCATGTGGGGTGTGGAAGGTAACTAGGCAAAAGGTTTCGAAAAATTGTCAACTGTTGAGTCATTTTTTCTTAGGTACCAAGGAGGACATGCTGCTTCTCATCATAGAGAAACTGGACATTGTTATGCACTACAACTTGGATCACACAGGGTTTGGGATTATAAAGGTACTGTACTGTGTTACTATGGTAATGTTCCTCTAGTAATGTTACTGTAGTAATGTTACTGTAGTAATGTTACTGTAGTGATGTTACTATAGTAATGTTGCTCTGGTAATGTTACTGTAGTTATGTTGCTCTAGTAATGTTACTGTTGTAATGTAACTGCAAGTTGACTAATGTAAGGTAATTCTCTTATTCTAGGTGATAACTTTGTGCACAGACTTCTGCAAAATAAGGCAGATGGAAAACTGGTGCCCTCTGAGGGCCCCCCTAGTGAGTCTGAAGGTGCACAAGAAAAAGTTGATTCTGTGCAGCTTGAGTTTACCTATCTGTTGACTTCTCAACTTGAAGAGCAGCGCATGTATTTTGAGGACAAAATGGCGTTATTAGAAAGTCATCTTTCTGAAGAAACTAAACACTTGAGAAATGAAGTGTCCGCCCTGTCTGATGAAAATAAAGAGTTGATAGTGAAACTGGCTGCTCTTACCAAAGAAAAACAGAGTCTTGAGAAAAAACTGCAACAGCAACATTCTAAGTACCTTTGTTCTTTATATAATATTCGACATATTAAGTTATTCTATTATTTTTAGGTTGAGTGCCACTCTAAATGAACTGAGTGAAGAAAGGCAGTTGGGTAAAGCTTTGAGAAACAACCAACAACAGTGGCAAACTAAAGTTACCACTTTAGAAGAAAAATTCAATGAGTTGAAAATTCATAAAGAGAAAGAAACTGAAGAGCTGAGAGAGCAAGTCAGAGACCTGATGTTTTTTATAGATGCCCAAAGGGTGAGCATTTGTTGATAACAGGAAATTTGTGTGATAGATTTTTTATTTTAATATCAATTTTCAGGTTATCGGGGAATCAGAACACAAAGAGGATATTGCTGGTGGTTCAGTCACCATTGGGGAAACATCAAGAAAAAATAAAGGCAAAAAAAAGCCCTAAGTTGAAATTTTGGTGAAATTGATTCAATAAACGTATTTTTTTTATAAAAATGTTGGAAAAATTTAGATTTAAGGTTCAATGATTATCAATTAGTGTGTGGAAATAGTAATATATACTTTTTTAGATAACTTTTAATGGAATTTTCAATAAAAACAACATCGCGGCGGGTTCTAGGGAGGTCGTTTTTCATGAACTTTTAGAAAGTGAGGTAAAATGGAATTATAATTAAATGAATAAGCAAAGCAGAACATTGAATAGACCAATAAGATCGCAAGTGTGTCTTTTCTAAATGCTCAAGTATTGTGCTTAACACCCCGTGTAATTCAGATATCATCATTATTATTATTATTAGTCATAGATAAATACTTGTTTCGGGAATTGATATGATAAAAAGGTGACGCAACTAATTTGTCATTCAGGACGAGGTGGTGAATGTGAATCATGTCAGTCTTGTGTTAGATGTCATCGAGTACGGTCGGTTTACTTAAAGTGCTCGTATCCGTTTTAAGCAAGAATCTAGTGTATATCGCGAAATAGTATACAGGGTTTTTCACGATGAGCGTTAATTAGAAGTTTCTGGGAAACCAAGCAACTGACATAATCTACACGTCTAAAATATTTTGAACAATGCGGCGTTGCCGCTTCTACTAGAAAGTAGCATCAACTATGATTTTTCGAATGAAACACCCTGTATTTCATTGCATTTTCAAATTCTTCATGAAGTGCTGATTTCATCAATGTATCAACGGTAAACTTTTGGTCTAGTGGAAACGATTACAGAGATAAAAGGTGTTCTAAATCGAGATTTTTCATCTTTTGGATTTTTTGTGTCGAAACTATACATTATTAGTCAAAACGGCTTTCATGTTCCCTATCTTTACTTTTGATTTACTATCCTCTGTCATTTAATTAGAACACAATTCTGATCAAAAAAATCTCGATTTTGACCACCCTATATTTCTGTAAGCATCCCCACTACTTTGATGAAATCAGCTCTTCAGAGAAAATCTACGAATGCAATGGAATACAGGGTGTTACATTTGAAAAATCAAAGTTGCTGGTAACTATTTAATAGAAGCGGCAATGCCGCATAGTTTAGAATATATACCATCAAACTTGCAGATTCATCTGTTACTTGGTTTGCCAGAAACTTAAAATTAACGCAAATCGGGAAGAACGAGCACGGAAATTAGCATTCCGTGCGAATTATACATGATACTTTTTCTACGGCTGTAACAGATAACAGAGACATTTCTTATTTCTTCGGCTTGTGTGATTTTATCTTGAGTGATGCTCATCTATTAGACAGCTGTCATTGCTTGAAACTTGACATTTCATGGGAGATGAAATGTTGTGAAATAATAACACAAAGAAGTCATTGTGGTATCATATACGGAAAATGAAATTGGTGACATACAAAGTACTTACTTTATTCAAACAAGGGCAATTAAGCATTCTGTGGTATAGCTAGAAAAAGAACTGTTTTAATTCTACAAGTGTGTTCATTAAAAAGAGTGATAATACTGCGTCTTTCAAATACATCGTTCGGTATAGTGATTACATATCGCGTTATTCTGTGTTGTGTCGGTGTTTTGTGAAGTGTTTTGAGAATTCATTCGTCGACTATATGCAGATTTCATACTGGTGAGTTTTTTAATATTTCCTAACACGTGATAGGCACTTTGCGTGAAAACAAATCGATTTCTCACTCCGAGGAACAAAAATGAATTTAGCAATCCATAATGAGAATTCTAGTCTTCTCACACGATCGAATAAGTATGCATTATAAGCAATGCTTTCGTGAAGGTCTGAATGAATTCATTTTTAGCCCAATTATATACATTCCTGAGGAATCTTCCAGTGTTATTTTATGCTCCTTCTCCCCAAGGAGGAAATTTGTTTGGTTACTATGGTAACGATATGAAATATAGACTTTTTTAATTGGTCGAAAATGTGATTTGTGGAATTTTCAATGATAATTCAGAGATATAAGATGAGACAAAAAAAATTAGATTTCATCAGAAATTGGAACGTTGACCAAAAAATCGCAATATTTAAGTTGAGATGATCGTCTCAAAAGACCCTGTATATCAGTAGTATATACAGGGTGTTGCGAAATTCGACCGACAACGCTTGACAGGTGATAGCCCTCGTGATTTCATAATCACTGAGATAGGAACATACGGTCTTCAAGTGTTCAGTTCTCGAGATACAGGGCGTTTAAGTTAAGAAATATCTCAAGAAAAATTGAATATATAATGCATTCAACTTCGGTATATGGTTTCATCTTTGAATGGGTAATTTTTTGACCAGGAAGCCATTTCGGACATTTCATTCAGTGGTGCCCTACAGGGGGTGTGGCAACTTTTCCTTCCATATTTCCTACGCCACTGATTAAATTTCAATTATTTTCAATTTCTTGAATTCATTGTTCAATTTTGTTGTAAAAATGCATCACCTTCAACTGAGCTGAAATGAAAAGTTTTCGAGATATTCGACCCAAAATAGAAGATTGCATAGTAATATTCCGATCATCATTTTCAGTAGTAGAAAATTGCAAAAATATTTTTCTGGTAATGAGTAGATTAGATACTATTCAGATCTCATTCTGTAGCTGAACAAAAATAGTTATTCCACGCATAAAGAGAAAACAAAAACTCATGTAATCTTATATACTACTGAAGAAGATGAAAAACTACTATGCAAACTTCTATTTTGGGTCAAATATCTCGATAACTGTTCATTTTAGCTCGGTTGAAGTTGATGCAGTTTTTCAACATAATTGAACAATCACTTCGAGAAATTGGAAATAATCGAAATTTCATCAGTGGCGTAGAAAATATGGGAGGAAAAGTTATCACAACCCTCTGTAGCGCACCTCTGGGTAAAATTCTCGGAATGTCTTTCTGGTCAAAAAATTAACCATTGTGGAAGATGAAACCATATACCGAATTTCAATGCATTACATTCAATTTTTCTTGAGATTTTGCGGAAAACTTATTTAAATTTCTTATCTTCAATGCCCTGTATCTGAAGAACTAAACACTTGATAACCGTATGTCCCTATCTCAGTGATTATGAAATCACGAGGGCTATATCACCTGTCAAGCGTTGTCGATCGAATTTCGCAACACCCTGTATAGTAGTATATTCCATCCCACTTCACTAATTTCAGATATTATTATTATTATTATATTATTATAGTCATAGATGAATACTTGTTCGGGAATTGATAGGATAAAAAGGTGACGTAACTAATTTGTCATTCGGGACGAGGTGGTGAATGTGAATCATGTCAGTCTTGTGTTAGATGTCATCGAGTACAGTCGGTCTATTTAAAGTGCTCGTATCAGTTTCAAGCAAAAATCTAGTGTATATCGTGAAATAGTATACAGCGGGTTTTTCACGAGGAGCGTTAATTAGAAGTTTCTAGGAAACCAAGCAACTGATGAATCTGAAAATCTCATGGTATTTATAAATTGACATAATCTGCTAGCCTAAAATATTTGGAACAATGCGGCGTTGCCGCTTCTACTAGAAAGTAGCAACATAGTTTTCAAATGAAACACTCTGGAGTGCTGATTTCATCAATGTATCACACTAAACTCGTGGTCTAGCGGGAACGATTACAGAGATTAAAGGTGTTCTAAATCGAAGTTTTTCAACTTTAGGATTTTTCGTGTCGAAACTATACATTATTAGTCAAAACAGCTTCCATGTCCCTACTTAACTTTTGATTTACTATCTACTGTCATTTAATTGAAACAAATACATGGTGGTTCATTATTCAGAATTCTGATCAACATATGTATCTGTTCCAATTAAATGTCAGTAAATGGTGAATCGAAAGTTAAGATGGCCGCTTCGACGCATAATGAGTTTCGACATAAAAAAATCCTAAGGTTGAAAAATCTCGATTTGGACCACCCTATATTTCTGTAATCATCCCCACTAGACCCCCAAGTGTGATACATTGATGAAATCACCTCTTCAGAGAGAATCTATAAATGCAATGAAATACAATAAGGTGTTGTTACTTTCTAATAGAAGCGGCAACGCCGCATCGTTCAGAATATACCATCAAACTTTCAGATTCATCTGTTACTTGGTTTGCCAGAAACTTATAATTAACGCTCATCGCGAAAAACCTGTATTGTTTGACGAGCACGGAAATTAGCATTCCGTGCGAATTATACACTACACTTTTTCTACGGCTGTAACAGATAACAGTGACATATTTAATTTTTTCGGCTTGTAGCCATCTAGTTTCAACTTAAGTAATGCTCATCTATTAGACAGATCTGTCATTGGTTGAAAAGTGACATTTCATGGGAGAAATAATAGCAATTTTGTGTTATATAGCCGTAAAAAAAGAACTGTTTTAATTCTACAACTGTGTTCATTAAAAAGAGTGATAATACTGTGTCTTTCGAATATATCGTTCGGTATAGTGATTACATCGCGTTATTCTGTGTTGTGTCGGTGTTTTGTCGGTGTTTTGTGAAGTGTTTTAAGAATTCAAATGAGGACTATAATGCAGATTTCATACTGGTGTTTTTTAATCTTTCCTAACACGTGATAGGACTGATAGGCACTTTGCGAGAAAATAAAACGATTTCTTACTCCAAGGAACAAAAATGAAATTAGCAATCCATAATGAGAATTTTAGTCTTCTCACAAGACCGAATGAGTACGCATTATACAGTGCTTTCGTAAAGTGCTGAATCAATCCATTTTTAGCCCAATTATACATTCCTGAGGAATCTTCCAGTGTAATTTCATTCTCCTTCTCCCCAAGGAGGAAAAAATTTCTGGAAATTTGTTTAGTTTTAGTATGGTAACAATACGAATTACAGACTTTTGTAATTGGTCGAAAATGTGATTTGTGAAATTTTCAATGATAATTCAGAAATATAAGTTGAGACAAAAATAACCAGATTTCAATATAAATTAGAAAGTTGACCAAAAGTTCGCAAAATATTCAAGTTGAGATGATAGTC